AATATAAAATTTCAGTGTATACTTATTTAACAGTAAGGCATAATTGAGAAATCTTGCAGATGCATGTTCCTTCAAGAACCATAAGGGTTATCTCATTTAATTGTAAAATGCTAGTTAAATGAAGATACTGAGAATATTACTAAATATTATTAATAATTGTCAACAGCATGTTAATTTGTATGGTTAAAACCAACCTCCTTCTGTAGCCACAACCAAATTCAGTAGAGATCCAATGAACACTATATGATGTTCATATTTATACATGATTTTATAAGAACTACTAATCGATTTACTGAACACTTTGTGATACATACCACAAGATTAGTTAAAAAAATTTAAAGTGATGTGGTAAGGACAACACTTTGAAAGTGCTTTATACTTTTCCAAGGTGGTAAGAAAACAATATCACCACATTTGAGCCTGGGTTTTCAGATCTGGGTGCCTAAAATTGCCAAAGCCATATACAAGAACAAAAGGATACCACTAAAAGGATACCACTATCAGGCTATGTTCACTTTAAATAGCTAGATTTGAAAATTACAATAGAGCATTTCAGGACTTATATTCTTGCTGAAATTTAGAGATATTTCCTCTTTAACCTGTGTAGAACTCGTTGATTTAACAATTGCCAAACAGATAGAAGGTTTCTTCAGACCATGTAGAGGTTTGTGCCTCAGTCCCAATATTATTCAGTACCAGACAGTATTTTGTTCCTACATAAACTGTTTAAAAATTCTACTACATCCTGAATAGATTCAGCTAGTTTAGAGGCAAATTATATAAAACGATTAATTCTCAACAAGGCATCACAGATACTTTCAGAAATGACATTATTAATTCCACGTGTGCCTATTTTTGCTATGCTTACAACTGTTGGTTACCAACATGTTGGGCTACCTTTGTAAAGCACTTATGGCCAATATTGGATCCTGCACTTATGTTAGATGGTCAATTACACCTAATGGCAAAGAATGGGTTCTATCTGGCTGCTTTTGATGCAGACATTATGTCTCTTCCTGAGGTGTGGGCTCCTAGCTTGTTTGCTTTTGTGATATCTAAAACCACTGTCTTTAGGTGGACATTCTACAATTAATTCCCTCCAGTGGGGGGGGTGCATTTTGTAGCAAAGATGCACAGCTGCTTGGTCAAGGCTTTGTTCATTGTCTGGCTTTGCAGTGTGCCTTGACCGCCATAGTCAGCAGGGAAGGCAGCATATAAATATTTTAAAATTACCATGTCTATTGAGGACTTTCTCAACACACACGATTCAAAGGGTTTTAAAGCCTTCACAGCTAGAAGAGTTCTATACATATTCAGCAGATCTGCAAATTATCATTTGATAAAAGCCAGTAGAAACTGTCCTCTGGTAACCAGATTCTGACCCCGGATATGTCGCAATTCCCTATAGCTCTTTTTAAAAGAAAAAAAAACCCATTGCATACACTCAGTACAAGGTTGAACTAACCTTCAGTGCACAGCACTTTCCTAAAAGTAAGTGCCTGCTTTCTTTTCCCAAACAGGAACAGTTACCGTTGTTTCTTTTTAGGACCTAATTTTCTTATTAAACTTCTTTGTCCACGTGGACAAAAGCAGAAAAAGGAGGGTGGCAGCGCTTATAGCCTACTCCCCTGGGGTAGGTGGCAGGGAGAGAGAGCAAGAGCACGAGAGAGGCCCGGCTGGACTGGAGACGAGGGACGGCTGAATAACTTTCTCATTCCTGTACAGGTGCAAACAACTGCTTGAGGGCCACATTTCCTCGCACCATATACTCAGAAGGGTCATGGGCTTAAAAACTCTGCGTATGAAGAAGGAAAGGGGAAGGTATAGGGAGAAGGCCAGACGTGAAGGGAATTTCGCTTTCCTGTTCTGTAAACTGGATTGCTGATTAAAGACTGCTTCACAACCCTCTGTATTGGGCTGTGCAGGAGGAATGTAAACCTTCAGCTGTGACATGCTGATCTGTGTTAAATTTGGACAGGACGGGGGGAAAGAAGAAGTTAATTCTCTTTGGCAACTTGGAACATTCAGAGGGTTTTAAAAGCTTAAACCTCATTCATATTTTCACTTAGTAGATATCTGAAATAAGGGCATGGGGGGGTAGACTGCTGAAGTTTTGTTTTCTAAGTAGCCTTTCCTGCCACATCCCAGTGTGCAGCCCAATTACAGACATATGGTAGAAAAGTCACTTCACTCATAATCTGAGGTTCTATTTACATGGGTAGGTAGGTAGGCTTTAAAAAACTGTGGGCTATTAACTTTTGTTACCTTATTTGAAAAGATGCTAACTAGACGTGAATTAAGAGTTTTAATCTGGTACACCATTTGACACCTTCAGCTCTCTTCTACTAATCCTATGGGCTGCATTCAGACATATGCATGGTTTGTCATGGAACAAGCCTTGGAATTCCCCGGATTTGCACTCTTACCATACCTGCGTATTCTGAATGAAACAGCTTGTCTAAATCAGAATAACTATTTCCAAGGCTCATTCCCATAAAGAACAAGCCATGATTTGTCATTATGTTTAAATGAGGCACTAACTTGCACATTTTGTATGGTCTGTGCCTTAACAGTGACAGGGAAGTGAGTGCTGGGCAGGGTGTTGTTACCTCAGGCTTGTACTTGGCTCTTTGTGTATTCTACCTTACGTTAGCCCTCAACTGGATTCACATCTGCTCATAAACCATCATTTCTCTAAGTATTTTCTCTCTGTCCATCTGAAATATAAATTTCAAGACGTGGGCACCTGCACCTTCTTCAATCACGGAACTCATATAAGGAGGTTGATGTACTATGTAAAAGTAGGTTTACCTATACCAGTGAATAGCAATTTGAATATCCCTTGATACTGTGGTGTCTGTAATGTACTCTCATGCACTTGAGCCAATTGAGTTTCAAGAGAGCACTACCACTAGTACATCTGAGGTGTACAATAGTGTCATCATTTACCTCAGTGACGCACTTTAAGGAGACATGGAAGAGAGTGATCCACCATGAACTAAATGACCACAGATAAATAATTTCTCAGAAGTGGAAACACACTCAAGGCACCAGGCCACAAGCTTCGTTGCAAGGATGATGCAGAACAAACAGAGCCCTCTGCGGCCTAATGGAATCGACAACCAGATCCATGACAAGGGTTCCCGATCTCCAGGTGCTACTGATCTATTACAACTGATCTCCAGATGATCCAGATCAGATATCATAGAGGGCTCTCTGCTGCCCTGTTAGCCTCAATTTTCCTCCCCTGCACTCTACTTCTACATCACCCCTATTTTTCCTTATTGCACTTGCTGCTAACTCTTGATACTGGCAGAGAAGGACGAAAGTCTTTCTATCCCACCTGAAGTTTATAGCTTTGAAAAAGGCTTAAATGCTGATGGGAGAAAAAGCTGGGCTCTCAGCTCCTTTCGTACCTTCTTCTTTTAGATCCCCCCTTCTTTCTTGTTTTGCTGTGTTCAATTTCTTCCCCGGGCTCCTTTTCACTAGGTTGCGTTTCAACAGCACTCAAAACTTTCACTTTCCCATTATTTCACACATTGAAGAAATCTCAGGTGCAAAACAGGCAGTATGATGTCGGCTGGCTGCAATAAGCTCCAAAATTAACACTGACTGCTCTCTGACTCTGTGGAGCAGAGGAGCAGTGCTGACCAACTGATGGGGGAATTCTTCCATCTCAAGTTCACCTTAATGTTCAGAAAAAGATATGGGAAAGGGGCCACAAATAATGGGTGTCTGGAATTCCCTCAGGTGGACCATAGCAGTCAAGAAAGGAGATGGAACTCAAGCCCCATGGGCTCCAAGTAATGGGCCTGTCACAGGATTATATGAAAATGCTCCTATTAAGTAAAAAATTACAGCAGGTAAAGCCGTAAAAAGCCCTAACTGAATTATGTTGTTTCAAACAATGAGTGTTCACCTGATACATGATATCTGAAAATTCAATGAACTGAACAAGTCAACACCAACCGACTGAAGTACCCTGTGGCTGCAATTCTTGCATGGACTCAATTTAATTTTATTATTTGAGTTTTACACCTAAGACTTAGTATAAAAAGTTTATCTTAAAGCATTAAATTTGGTAACCATCTTGATCACTTTAATGATCTTTGGGTTTTGAACCTAAGACACGATTTTGGTCCTTCAAAATAAGAATGGCTTCATTTTAGGCATCCATATTTGAAAGCAGACAGCAGACCCTAAAATGTGGTAAGGGGAATATATCATTTTTCAAGTAAGACTCACATTTTATCAAGGCCAAAGTTTCCTGGGGGAATAATTAAACTGGATATAGTCTTTAAAATCCCACTGTGTTGAATAATACATAAAATATGTATAAAAATGTAATGCAACTATGAAGTTTCAATATTGGCTGATCATTTAATGGAAACCAAAGGGTTAAACAAGCAGTGAATTCTCTTATTTCACTAAACTAATAATAAACTTCATCCTCCAAAATATGATACAAAATATTACTTAAATAAAACTAGCTGAAAGAGAAACTACTAATGTAATTATTTACATTATTATAAGCTATACAGCTTATACTCAACATTTATAGTGAATACTGCATCCAATTTGTCCATGGTTTGTGAGATTTTCTGAATGTATGACGAACATAAAACCTTTAAAGAAAAAGTTAATTGCAAGAACAGAACTCTAACAAAAGGGTACTGAACATGCACATCTACAATTCTATTTGGGCTTTTCTGTCATATTTTAAAGACAGATACACAGTATTTAAAAATTTCTAAGAAGTGAAGTTAATACTATCAGCTCAAAAGTTATACTGAAGGCTCCATCAAAACTGACATCCCTTTAAAAAGTAAATTACTAGACATGTTAATATAGCACTTAGTGTAATTCAACATGTCTAATTTAAAAGCTCTCAGTAAGCTGTTAACTGTTTGGCTTTTTGATTTAGTTAATATCTGTGTATACTGCTCTATGTTAGTTAACTAGACACACAACTACTAAGGATACCCCCAAACCTTACTTACTCTATCTGAGCTCCATGAGCCACAAGGGCACTTATGGAGTCCATGCTGCCAGATCGAGCGGCTTTATGAACAGGTGTTTCACCAACATAATCCTGCAAAAAATGTAGGAAATTAGTATCAAATATGAATGATCTAAACTAAGAATGGACTATAGGAAAATAATGCAGTGATAAGAGACATCAACTGTATGTAATACATCACCCTCGCAAACATTTGAATGTATTGGGCAGAACATCCACGATCCCTGCTGGATACTTCACAGCAGATGGTGAAAGTTGCTGGCTGTGGCACTCCCCTTCTGCTTTAGCCAAGAGGCATGCTCCGCAACATTTTAGTTATTGCCATGGTCAGAACATCACAAAAGTCACAACTGGGTTCGAGTCCAGTAGCATCTTAGATACCAACAAGTGTTTCAGAGAATAAGCTTTTTGAGGGTCAACTGACTCTTTGTCCCTGAAACACTTGTTGGTCTCTACGGTGCTACTGGACTCGATTTTATTCCAGACCAACACAGCTACCCTCTGAAACAAAACTGCACACACAGATACTTGCTCCCCCTCCCCCTCAGCATACCAATTCGAGCTGTCTCATTAAAGACCTAAGGGGAACAGAGAAAGAACAGGAACAAGAGTGATCATCTGTCACTGTGGCCTTTAAACCACCAACAGGACCAGGGGCATGTAAAGCAGCTAATGGCAGCAGCAGCAGCAGAATGAAGGCAACTCCAGAATGGACCGCTACGGCACTCTGGCTCACTGTGAGAAATTTCAAGCACAAACCCACCCTGTAGCCTTCAGCTGCTCCTATTCTTGACTCCAATATGAGCTTCCAATGCTGCAGCTCTCTTGCTTCATTATCTGCTATACCGATGCTCACCTATCAATGGGCTGGATCCAAAGTAAGATTTCCACAAGTGCTAGACCAGCAATGTACTAAAAAAAAGACAGAGCTGCCAGCCTGTGCTAAGTTGCAGTCCAACTGGAATATCTTCTTGTGCAAATAACTGCAGTACATTGATTGTTTTTGCAAGCAGAATTACACTGTGCAAATTTGTGTTTCTTATCTAGCATTACTGGACCAAACTGCCTTGCCTTTGCAGCCTCCCTCTTTTTTTCCCTTGAGGTAATGCTCTGCATGTTCTTCCTTTCTACATCACTCACTGTTTTGACTATTGTGGGGGGGGGTTGCTTGAATGCCCCTTTGTGTTATTTCTCACTCTGTGATACTAAACCCTCTGTGTTTAACTTCTCTCAAATTAACAAAATGATAATGTTGCTGGGGTTTGCTCCCTGCTGGGACATGTAGAGCACTAGTGCCCTCAGTAAGCTTAGCAGAGGGTGTATTTCCAGCCTGGCTGGTCCCTTCACAGGCAACCACGCAGAAGATGAATTCACTCCAAGTAATACCTTTATTGTGGCTCCTTCTCACCAGAGCTGCAGTTCAGCTTCATCCGACCGCTCTTACACTGTATCCTCACAGTGCTTGTCCACTTGCCACTTTAATGTGTGCTGCACAACAGCTTTTAAGGCCCTCCCCAATAAGCAGCACTGTTCTAATGACCTCCACCTATCTTGCTTCTGCCCCCCCCCCATGGACTCCTGAGGCCCAATGGCATGCCCTCTCCAACAGCAGCAACTGCAGCCCTCGATCAGCCTCTCCCCACTGAGTGCATGCCCTGCCTCTCTGCGTCCCAGTCTTCGCCTGTCTGCAATGGGGTTCCCTGTCAGCCCTCCACTGATGGACCTCATGGCAGCAGCCAGAAGCCATAACCACCCTCAGTTCTCCAGGCATGATGAGCTCCCGTGTCACAGATCAATTCTGAATCTGGCCAAAGTAAGAGAAGTACAGGTTTGTAACCCCCTCCAAATGTTAGTAATTAATGTATGACAGCAGTATTCTAGTCCCAGAGAGTAAGCTTCACAGCCATTATACTGGTTTTACTATTTATTTTATTCAACTTCTAAGGCTACAACCCTGTTCATACTTACCAGATGCAAAATTTACTAAATTAACATGGACTTACCTCTACGTAAATGTATGTAACATTAGGCTCTAAATCAGGTTCTCCCACTGAAGTGTCAGGGCTGAAAAATCTGCTCAGAAACAAACTGTAATCCTATACATACCTACTTTGGAATAAGTGCCACTGAAATCAGGACAGAGAGTGTTTTTTAAAAAATTGTAAATAAATGAAAGTTTGCTGTCATCAATTTAGTGACTAGCATTAGGTTAATAACGTATTTCTCAACCTAAGTGCTCCTCATGTGTAAGATCAAAGTATTAATTGAGGTGCCTTTTGACTAGATCGTGCACCGTTCTCCTACGGCACATTTAGCTTTTGACATTGGAATTCTTGATCTCAGATGTGGATTTGTTGCAAGCAAGTACAACTGTTTCGTTCAGGGTAACAGTCACCAGGTAACTGTGACTAATTCCCCCCACCCCACCACAGGCTGTTATTCTGTGCCCAGCTTCAGCTGGTGGCCCACAAGACTCTAATAAAAAAAAAAAGTAAATCATGAAAGCCTGAAGTGTTCCTAGTATTTATTTCCAATTAAAAATATGACATAAAATACAATAATTACTCCCCTAAAACGCAATATTAACCCATGCCTTCCCAAAAAAAAAACCCCACCAACAACCCCAAGCAAACTAACAGGGTCAGCATTATCATAATGACAATGTCAGGTGATTACCTAAAGCAGTTCTTTTACTGCAGCAGCAGACAGAAATATTTTCTTTTCCAGACCTATCACTGTAATTCTGCTGCTGCTCCATAGTGGGTGGGAAGCAGTCCACTGGGACTTAAGGACTGAGGTGCTTATGAATGACTGTCAGCCAGAGTCCCCAGTAGATGGTGGTTTACCAGTCTGGCTGTTGCCATGAAGGCCCCAGTTGCATTTTAAAAAATAGTGATATAAAGAAGAAGAGGGATCACAGTGCCTAGGAGCTCTGAGAATGGTTTTTTAAACAACAGTAACAGCCTGTGTGTGCTCTGCTTCTAGCAATGGTGTGATATGCAGCAATCAACAGAGTTTAGTTTTACTCATGACTAATTTATGATATTTGATATTTATTTTACTACTAAGTATATTTAGTAATTTCTTATGCAATTCCAGCATTGTTTTGACTGAAGAATGATGAAGAAGATGCAGGCTCTACAGACAGCAAACCTGAAAGCACCAATGGACTAGAAAGAAGAGGGGTTTTAAAAAAGAAAAAGATACCTGTTTGTTTATGTTGGCTCCTGACTGAATTAACCAGATGAGGCACTGAGGATGCCCTCCAAAAGCAGCAATATGGGCTGGTGTTTGAGCAAAGCGTGTGGTACATCCATTTACAGTGGCTCCCGCTCTCACCAACTGTATTAAACACTCCAGCTTTAGAAAGAAATTGGGGAGGGGGGAAGAGAAGAGAGATTTAATTATACATTTATATGAACGCAATATCACATCAATATGTCACCTACAACTTTATCCATCCGTGGCCAAGGAAAGCTCCAGAGCTCCAGAATCATTCAGTTTGCACCATGTGATTTGAAAGGGAACAGCCAGAAAGGCTTTCATCCACCAGATCAGGTTGTGCAGATTCCAGAATCTCTTAACATCCAACTGTCTGGTCTGCCAATCCGACAATATTTAAGCTGTTCAGACCTAGATTAAATAACCCTTCTGCAACTAGTGCAGCTAAACTATGCGGCCACAGGGATCTGATCTTTCTAACAAAAATCAACCATTCACTGCTGGATGACATTCGCAGACCACAGGCTGTGAATATATGACTGTTACAGAATGATGTATATTAACTAAACTGAACGTCTGAGGAAATTGAGAAAGCTGACAACTATACTGTTGTACAAGTAGCCAACCATTCCCACATGGTGTCACGTTATGTGATGCTTGGTCCTACTTCGCTCAATTACAGTTAAAAGCTGGTATGCCATACTCTTGGGAAAAAACAGTTCCACAGTTCCTACAAAATGTATAAGGGAAATGTTCTAGAGTCTGTTTTCTGGCTATAATCCTAAATGAGATTTTGTGTGTCATGGTGTTTTTCTTTGTGTTTCACATCTGAGCCATTAATATACATATCAGCTGTGCAGTTCCCAGTGCTGTGGACACATTAGAACTGTAGGCAAAAAAAAAAGAAAAAAAAGATATAACAGACTGCAAGATAGTCCTGGATGACTTCCCCCCACTGAAGGAGACTTACTGATTCTACAAGTAATGCTGAAGTAAACAAATGATTTTCCCCTTCCATAAACTAAAGAGCAATACAGTTATCTTTTCTTCACATTGTAGGCATGCCACAATCTTGATCATTTTGACACAGCTGTGTCCCTTTTGTTCTACTCTATACTGTCAAAGATTATACAGAATTCAAAACAGTACTGAAAACACAGCCCCCAACTAACAACATTTTCGTTTCTGCTGTTAACATGTTTGCATTCTGACAACTGAAAATCACTCAGATAAGTTATCCGCAATGACATAAAAACAACACACACACACACACAAAACACCAGCAGTTAATTTGTAAATCACACATGAATTTTAAAAGAGGGAACTTCTTCTTCAACTGAAAATCACTCAGATAAGTTATCCACAATGACATAAAAACAACACACACTCACACACACACACACAAAACACCAGCAGCTAATTTGTAAATCATGCATGAATTTTAAAAGAGGGAACTTCTTCTGACATCTTGGAAATATGACAAAGTCCTCCCACACCATAGGCACGCTAACAAACACAACATTTTCACTGTCATGCAAAACACCCTGAGCAGATCTCTGAAGAGACTTAGTGAGTGCCAAATTTAGAAGCTCACTGAGCTTCTTTCCATTTCCAAGGACTTTGAATCCATACCACTCACTGAGGTAAAGTTGTTCATTACAAATGTTTTGTGGCAAAAGTTTTTTTGGGAATGCCAAGTCATTGTTGTTTCACAGACAACATAATTTTCAAGATTACTTACTGACCAATCCTAATTTAACCAAACAACAAAGCACTCTGTCCCCCAAGACCTACTAACTGGGAAGAAATTACAATTTCCAGCAAAGTAACACTGAGCATATATTATAAGGGACGCTAAATCGAAGTCCCAGAAAGCTGCACCAGTCCAAAGAAAAGTCCAAAAATAAAATACATTTTTCCTCACCACAGCAACAAATACTAATCGGAGAAAGTGCTTTTCTAATGTGGGTTGTATGTGTGTGTGTAGACAACCACCAAAAGGATCAGGCAGGATTTCCCCCCTTCCCAAAGTTCATGTCATGATGCCTTTCTATATGCTTCGTGTTTCTCAGTTGTTAATATTCATCAGCTCTGTCATGACTTGCTTTCCCCATATTAAAACCAAAAACAACAAAGATACTGATAGGATTTGACAGAGACAGCCATATCTTTGCAAAACCTTTGCTTTAGCAGGATGATACTTATATGTCAGAGACACAAAGGAGCACTTATTTTATTCCAAAGCCCACCTCAGTCACATTTTCCAATGGGGTCATGCTGAATGTGTGTGAGACAATAAACTGAAGAAGTGAGCTCTGACGCATGAAAGGTCATACTGAAATAAATGTCAGTTTTTAAAATGCATGGAGTGTTTTGTTGTACTGCTATAGCGCTATAAATCAAACGTTTTTTTAAAAAAATCGATCACCCGCGCGGGAGGAAAACGGCAGGAAAACAAAGCGGTGCAAGTCTGAAATGCCAAACCGCTTCTGATCCGGCTCATTTCCGGTAGGGGCAAGCCCTGTGTGAAATGGCAGCCCTGTACCGGTTCATTTCAAAACGGATGATCGCCGGCTTGAAACCGGGTGAAACTGGGTAATGTGAAATTCCCCCATGTCATGATGCCTTTCTATATGCTTCATGTTTCTCAGTTGTTAATATTCATCAGCTCTGTCATGACTTGCTTTCCCCATATTAAAACCAAAAACAACAAAGATACTGATATGATTTGACAGAGACAGCCATATCTTTGAAAAACCTTTGCTTTAGCAGGATGGTACTTATATTGTACTTATATGTCAGACACACAAAAGAGCACTTATTTTATTCCAAAGCCCACCTAGGATTTGACAGAGACAGCCATATCTTTGCAAAACCTTTGCTTTAGCAGGATGATACTTATATGTCAGAGACACAAAGGAGCACTTATTTTATTCCAAAGCCCACCTCAGTCACATTTTCCAATGGGGTTATGCTGAATGTGTGTGAGACAATAAACTGAAGAAGTGAGCTCTGACGCATGAAAGGTCATACTGAAATAAATGTCAGTTTTTAAAGTACCACTTGAAGGGTATGATTCTGCTACAATGGACTATCAGTTACCTCTCAGCAACCCTATGCAGTTATACAGGAATTAATATTAAGCCGTATAGGAGTAAGAGAGTTTACAATGGGACTTACTTCTGAGTAAACATGCATATGATCAGACTGGTCCCACCCTTTAATTTGGTGTTGAGCAAACTGGCCCTTCCCGCCTCTGAAAGAAACCCCACCAGGAAAAGTTGAGAGCTCAGCAAACACTTCACAGCGAAAACTGTAAACCTGCCATTCGCCAGAAGCCAGTTTATGGTTGTCATCGAGACCTGGCACTTGGGGTTTGAGCACTGGTGTAATCCAACATGGTCCCACACTACAGAATTCCCTTTAGAGAATAGCTTGTTTGTGGGGTGGAGGAATATATTAATGGATGCTTATATGCGTCTCTGATCACATAAAAGCAGGGTAACTAAGCTCTGAATACATACAATTAGAACAACTAAACTAGAGCATAGACTCAAAGAGGTAGCACCCATAGCTTTCATGAAAAAGTTTAGTAGACAGTTTCTCCCAGACTATCATATATACTAATGAATTTTATGAATTACTTCCTTCCTTTAAGGAACTCCAAGTGGTATATACAACTCCCTCCCCCACTACTTTTCATCTGAAATACAGGCATCTAATATGCCTATATGATAGGTAAAGTTATATGTGAAAAAAACAGAGGCCCCCTAAAGAATTTCAGCATGAGCTTTCATGAATCAGAGGTCCCGTCTCCAAATTCTTACTGGAAGGAAAATATTTCTGGGATATAAGTGAGTCACAGAAGGTGGGAACAGTAGTTGGATGTAAGAGGCTTGGTGCCTATCTTATCGTAAGTCTTTCTGCTGTGACTCCCTGTGTAAATGACAGGAACAGATTTGCTAGTTACACATAATGGATTATGAGAGGGGGTCAGCAGTTTCAGGTTCTCATGAAATACAGTAATAAAAGTATAATGAAATAGGATAAACCCAACTAATTAAGGTAAAAGTAATGTGAAACATTAAAAAATTAACATCAGTAGAGGTTACAATGTAATACAACATGTTAAGAAGAGCCAATTAAAGTTATAGTCTAGTGACAATTTTACACACTCATTAGTAACATTAATAAATTGCAGGATTCATGTAACTACATAACTCAGATCAGCTATGGAAATCATCCTGAAGCACTATGATAGTGCCACATGAACTTGACAAACAAGCCAAGAACTTGAACTAACACCTGGGATGTCCTGCCTACAGATATGAAATTTCTAGAAATTTCAAATCCCCTTCGGGGGTGGGAAAGAAATATATGAAATCCTTACTTTCCTATCAGACAACTTCTTTTACTGGTTTAACAACGTAAAATACATAACTTTAAACTTAAAATGCTATCTGGCATATTTATAGAATTTTAAAGTACAAAAATCTTCATTTTCTATTATCAAAAGTGCAAGAATACCTACTTGAGCTGGAAACCACTTCACCTATATTACCATTGCATATATATCTTTAATTTTTACCATCTGAATGTTACAAAAAATTAGTAAGTGCAGAAGATAGAAAACAATTCTGTAGTAATCAAAAAGTAGTGTTATTTGGACAGAAGCTCTTCCATAGAGTCACAATAGGTAGAACTACCAGTACATTGAGATAGTAAGCTAAATTTGATAACACTGTATAATATTGAACTCTAATTATACATTATCTATAAACATATAGGATATTAATTGTTTTAATTTTAATTAATTTTATATAGATCTACAGTGTAACAAGCATTTTTTCCAAGTGGTCCACAAAAGTTTTGGAAAAATTGACAAAGTCCTCAGACTTTTTAATTTTGAGTCTGACAATCCTTGTGGTTAAGAAGCATTTTACATACTCTAGAACATAACATTTCATAGTTTTCCCCCAGGGCTAAAAACATCACATACTGTGCATTTCCTCCTTCCTAACAACATCCTGTGTTTAATCTTTCTGACAAGCCTGTACAGAAACCAGTATGTACATTTCAGAAATGCTACCAAGAGTGGCAGAAAGAAAACAGGTGTTACAATAGTGCAGAGGCACAAGCCTGGCATGCCAGTGTCAGTTTATAAAGCTGTTTGCACTTGGTTATACTGACAGCAGAATTCTATCTTTAATCTCTGACCAGTCTATCTGTGCATCCTATTAAAGCATGAAAAATACCCAATGAATATTGTATGATGCTAAGGTCAAATAAACAGACTATGGCTCACCAAGCATTGCAATTTCAGTTTCCTCACACATTACAGATTTTATTAGCTGCAGTGAATGCATAAGTCATCCTCAACAAAAATCACTGTTGCAACATTCATTAAATGGAATAATATTTATTATATTTACATCCTGGTTTTCCTGCACTGAATTTATTTAACTTGAAGCGACATACACCTTTGTGATCTACGACCCAGGCATTGACCAGAAACAGCTAAGTGCCTTTAGAAAGGGCTATCAGACCATGTCCTGGTGCAACTTTAACAAGCTTGGCTTTTCAATAAGCTTCACATTCAAAGCTGACCCAAGGATTATGTGCATGTAAAGTGATTTTTCTGTCAGCAGAAAAAGTGCTTCCCAGGGGGCTCAAAGACCAATGTCAAAGAACATCATTACATTACTGAGAAGACATGATTTTATATTACAGATTTAATAAAATCCAATTGGTTTCTTTTTAAGCTCTTGTAAGGAAGAAACAGTATTTTATGTAAAATAAATGTATATACAATAAAAGCAGCCTTCAAAAACAGACCCCTAATCAATATTATATGCAAAAATATTGCTGAAAACTACTTTATTCCTTTGAAACCCAAATATTTTACCAACACAGCAGATTCAGTGGGGTTTTACACATAACTGTAACAAAACAATAGTAAACTAGATATTTGCCAAGGAAATAAAAACTGAGATATGTTAATGTCGTAATTATATTAACTTAGATCTTCTATTGGGAAAAGCTTTATTGTTGCCAAACACAGGCAGAGACCTGTCTGCCATCTGAACAAACATTTTGTCTTTCCAAGACTCAGAAGTACATGGTTGCAGTAAGATAAGTCAAAACAAGGGAAAACAGCCCCCAGGCATTAAAAAAACACACACACACACACAAAAAAACAGGTAGCTCTTAGGGCATGAATAGCAGCAGTGACAAAAGTCTGAAGGGGAAAGGGACACACTGCTGGTGTAAAATAACCTCCAAGCTCCACCCAACCCTTCCTACAGGACCAGCCTTGAACAATGGAAGGTGCTGATGAGGTAGAACAGTGGGTCAGACATTGCTCTTTTTAATCTTCAAAGGTTCACAGGGCACCTGCATATTTCAAAAGTTTTGGACTGAAACTCATGGATTTGTTTGTGTCAAAACTTCCTACGAGTGGGGTGGCTAAAATATATTACCCTTACAGAAGAGAAAAGGAACAAGGAGAGTTACGATCCAGAGATCGGTATTATTTAGTACTTCTGTGCCTCAAGGAAGGAACACACAAAATTCAAGTCAAAATTCCATTCAAAGACCTGAAGACACAGAAACCCCACTTTTCAATCTACCAAGAAACAGCCAGAGCCTCTCCAGATATTAGGATATTGCAGCATGAACGAAAAACCCTTAGGAATTAAAAAGCAAAGCAGCAACCTCCAATTAAACGTTTAATTGGAAGAGCACCGCAATTAAAAGAACTCAAGGACACCTGCTTTTTGAATCGTGGGGTTAGGAAGTTTTCTGCTGAAGCCACAGTGGAGTGGAAGGGAAGCAGGGTGGCTGGGATATTAGCAGCCCCGGAAAGCTCTTTCTTCTGGGTGGAAGAGAAAGTAGCCTGTAAAATGTACACAGCAGAACTACTGGACCTCATCCTAACCAGTGAAGTCGGGTCGAAATATACGGGAAGCAGACGAGGAAACCAAGGCACTGGGACAAATGGCATCTGCACCAATGTTCCCTCTAAGCTGTGAAGTCTTGTGAGCAAAATTCTACTTTGTGAGCTACTGGCATTAAAGTTGTGAGCGAGCAATTTGGCTGCTGCATAAGTTAGTTTGCTCTGGAGCCATCCTCCCTGAGTGAAGACAAAAATGTGTGAGCCAGAGGCTAAAAACCTGTGAGCTAGCTCACACTAACTCAGCTTAGAGGGAACACTGATCTGCACTGTGAACAAGAATGCAAAGAAATCCCCATAAGGATTGTACGCATCTATACCTAT